CTTTAGTAGTCCCTATAGACTCTAGTAGTATCCTATCGCCGAATTTCACTATAACGCCGCTAGCCGCCTTAGTATTTAACATAATTCCTTCGTAAATTTATTATAAGGCTACGAATTATAAGTAGCTAGCGGTTGAGAATCCTACTACGCCCGAGTCAGGCATGATCCCTTAGAAGTTCTAGGTAGAGTAGCGTCCCTCGAGTATAAATTGCGAAGGTAGCTCTTTCGGTTCTAGTTAGTTACGGAAAAAGTCTTCTTTCGTAATAGCATAGCAGGTTAACTAGTCTACTAGGATCGTAGCGATCCTATTGCTATTAATTACTATTATAGTGAAATAGGCGGTAACCTAGAATTAACTATCGCTACCGGTCTCTTCCTCTTCGTTACTTTTACTAGTTTGTTCGGTTACGTAGTAGTATTGCTAGGGGTCTTCGGCGGTAGGTTATAAGTCTAACCTATCGAAACCCTCGTATTAGACGAGAAATTAGCTATATGCTAGAAGTAACGTATCCTAGGCATATTAAGTAGTTTTAAACTTCTTATACGCTTTTCGTCTCTCTTCTATAGTATATTTAGTTAACTAGCAGTTAGGTTTTCTATATACGTAGTACTTCTTAGGCGTTAGTAGTAATAAGGGTTTGTTACGGCTTCTTCCTCGTAATAATCGACTTCGTAATAAACGACTATATCGTAAATAACGCCCTCGACTATTAAAAGTTCTATCAGTCTAGTACTGCTTTAGTAGGTTAGCTACTATGTTAAATTGTTATTAGTTAAGACAGGTAGCTGTCTCGATCGACAAGATTAATTAGCTACGAAGTCCTTTGTACGTCTTAGCCGGTATAAATAACGCTATTATATACTTTAGAATATCTCTATAAGCGTATAGAAGTTAGGTATAGAGGGATCGGTCGTTATAATCCTATTATAGCAAACCAGGCTAAATCTTGCTTAATTTATTATATAGTATGTTAAAATACTCCGATTTAGTCTTTCTAAGGTTATCGCGAATGATTTAGGGAAGAGTAGTTATATTCTACTATATAACATATGCTTATTGCCTTTCCCTAGTCTCAAAGTATAATTTTAATTAGTTAATTATAGTCTTGAAGTTAGGCTATAGGTGTCACAGTTCTATTAGACACAACAGTAGGGATGCCACAGTTATGGGGCTGCCAGTGTGGCTGCCAGTGGGGCTGCCACACGTGGGGCGATACTGTCGCCCTAGACCGCCCTATAGGTATATTAGACCACCTGTTCGCTAGACCTAGGATAGACCTAACCTAATAGACAACAATGACTAGAACGACTTATTAACTGTGACAAGTGGTAGCACAACCTACTTTGCGATCCCTCGCGACCTCATAGTTAATTTTTCAGCATGGGCAAATAAGCTACTTTTTTCAATCCGTTGAGAAACACCAGACCGTGGCCAATCCGCCCGCACCAGGCTAATTCTGCTGCTAACGCTGCTGCTAACGCCGACGCCGCCAATATGCGCGCACCAGCTATACTATTCGCCTCCCCTCAAGACCCTACGCGAGACCATCACCCCTCGTACCGTCAACGCCGTTATCCCTCTACGCCTACGCCAGCGTGGGACCCAACGGTATGGCCGTCAATTGACGACCTCAAGGCTATCCAGACCCGCCAACAGCGCCCAGAGCCCTGCCGGAAGTGTAGCGCTAGATTCCCCAGCAAGAACGCTCTCTTCCGCCACGTCTATGCCAATAGCTGTGGAAGCCAGTTTCGCTGTCGCATCTGCTATAGCGATTTCACATCTCGCAACGCCCTATTCCGACACCTACAACAGGGCTGCCAGCCCTCAGCCTGTAGGGCTAGAATCCCACAGCAGGAGACTGCTAAGACTGCCGAGACTACTGAGACTGCCGAGACTGCCGAGACTGCCGAGACTACTGCCGAGACTACTGAGACTACTGCCGAGACTGCCGAGACTACTGCCGAGACTACTGCCGAGACTGCCGAGACTGCCGAGACTACTGCCGAGACTACTGCCGAGACTGCCGAGACTACTGCCGAGACTACCGAGACTACTGCCGAGACTGCCGAGACTACTGCCGAGACTACTGCCGAGACTACTGCCGAGACTACTGCCGAGACTGCCGAGACTGCCGAGACTACTGCCGAGACTACTGAGAGACTGCCGAGACTGCCGAGACTACTGCCGAGACTACTGCCGAGACTGCTGCCGAGACTGCCGGCCAGACCATAGAAGTTATAGAACGGGCTTCTGCGCCGTTTCTACAGACCCTATTCAACGCCGCTAAGCATGCCCATATCTATACCGAAATTAGCCTCTGTATGACTATGCTACAGTCCCAACGACAACAACAGCAACTGCTTTTCCTACCAGACCCAGGGAGAAGATTCGCAGCTATAACGAACATTCAGCAACGATACGGAGTATTCTGGCCCGACGCCGACAGCAAGTACGGCAGGGAGCCTATATTCTATGACCAACAGACACTATGCTACCGAGACGTAGATCTATGGCTCTTAGCAATTGGAAGGAAAATCGTTAATCCATACGCTCGAGACGAAGTCCTCCGAGAATGGCAGAGCCTACTCAGAGGTAAAGCACTCAGCTGGTGGGAATATCTGTTCGAATATTCGTAGGCGCACATTCAGGGGTCAATCGTGATGTGTATTGTGCTTCTTCTTTTCCTAAGACCTGTCCGTATCCCTTACGCGCCTTCTTCCGGCGTGTTCCCTGTGACTAAGCGCACCTAGCGCGGTCCTCGGCCAAACATTCCTCCTAGCGCCTTCCTGGCATCCTAGGCGCTCTGCGTGTGCATCGCTTCCAGCGCCCCTGGCCTACCACCCTTTTTGACACACCCCTTTAGCCTTCGCGGCTCGAGACCTCGGTCCTAGGGCGCTCCTGCGCGCTTCATACGCAGCAGCGGAGGCTACCCTTAGGGGTGGCAGGCCAACCGACTTCTTCCTTATTCCTCTCCTCCTTCAAAGATCCCTCCGCTCCATGCGGTCTCTGCGAGAGGGTCCCTCTCTTCGCGTAGTGGTTCCGTCTCCTTCTTCACCAAGTTGAGCTGTTTTATGAAGTCTTCAAACGGTTGCCTTGCGAGGCTCTTCGTGAGTCCGTCCGCAACAAGGTCTTTCGTTGGTGTGTGGACGACGTTGATGGTGCCGTTCTCAACCTCCTGTCTCAACCAGTGGTTGTGTATATCAACGTGACGAAGCCTCGTCTTTAGAGTCACGAGTTCCTCAGTTACTATTCGAATCGTCTGGAGGTTGTCGCACTGGATCGTTATTCCGCCGCTTGGAATCGTCGTATTAAGAGCACTCAACAGACGGCTAACGAATATAGCTTCGCGTGCTGCTTGTGAGAGGGCGAGAAGCTCTGCTTCTGTCGTTGATGTTGTGACTGTGTCTTGTTTGTTCGCTCTCCATCCGATCAATCCTCCAGCAAGCCGTAGTGCGTACGCCTGAGAGCTCTTTCGATCTAGCGAGTTATCTGCGAAGCTGGCGTCTGATGCGACTTCGAAACTCTTGTTGTTGCCATCGTACTCGAGACTAAGGAAGCAGGTGTCCAAGATGTACCGCAATACTCGATCTGCAGCGCGATGATGCTTCTGAGAGGGATTCTGGTTAAACCTCGCCAGACGGCTTGCAGCAAAGGCGATATCGGGGCGCGTCATCACCGCTAAGTATAGGATCGATCCAATCTTTCGTTGGTATGCCGTTATTTCGCTCTTTGAGGCGTGCTCCTCGGCGGGCAGTAGCTCCTCGTTCGTCATAGGTGTCGTAAATCGAGTGTTCTTCCTCTGTGATCCTTTATGTGTGCCTTGACCAATCAACCGTGCGATCTTCTGTGCGTATGCTGCCTGAGATAGCCAGATTTTCTTCTTGGCTCGGTCGCGCGTGACCTCGATTCCTAGAAACTAGTGAAGAGGGTCTCCGCCTTCCAGGTGGTACTTCTCTTTGAGCCCGTTAATGAGGCGCTCAGCAGCGTTTCTACACTCAGGGGGAAACGCGAGAACACAGTCGTCGACATAGAAGAAGAAGAGCACGCGTCCCTTCCGCCAGCAGCAATTCTCGCCTGCGACGCGTTCCATCCCCATTGCTTTCAGACCGTTCTCTAGATGCCGTTGCCACAGTAGAGGGGACCTGCGAAGGCCGTATAGAGCCTTCTTCAGCCGCAGGACCTTCCCCTGCTGCTCATGGCCCGGTGGAAACTCTATATATACTGTCTCGTCGATCGGAGCGTGGACAAAGGCATTAACTGCGTCGTACTGTAGTAAGGTAAGATCTTGCTGGGCCGCGGTGGCAATAAGGGTTCGGAACGATTGTCCAGCGAGGGTCGCAGCGTATGTATCCTTGAAAGCGTTTTTAGCCTGTTGATCTCCTCGAACAACGATCCTTGCCTTGAGTTTCTGGAGTGCTCCCTTCTCGTCCGTTTTATAGACGTATACCCACCGGCAACCCAGAATCTGGTGCCCGGCGGCTTCTCTACGGTCCACGACGACGTATGTATCTATCTCATCGTGGCTCGCGAGGTGCTTCTCTTCCGCTTCTCGGAATCCCCTCTCGTAGGGGTGGCCGTATAGATCGGCATGTTTCTGAGGCACTGGGGGTAGTACGCCTGCTTGGCTTTTTCGCTGGGGCAGAGGACGGTCCTCTCCCGGAACGCTAGAGGCCACGGTCTCAACCGCGGGCCCCCCGTCACCTGACACGGGCCTACCGTTGTGGGAGCTTAGCCCAGAGGGAAGGTCTTCCTTTACCCTCGAATCAACGTGGTTTCTTCCCTGACGGAGGTCGAAGGCACGCTCACACCCAGGGTTTCTAAGACTCCTCCTGGGCCCAGGGGCAGGGTTCATACCATTACCACGTCCGGCTACGGTGAGACCTTCGAGTCTGTTGTTCCAACATACTACCGCTTCCAGGCTGGTATCGGCGTTCTTCGCCTTTTGCTTCATCTTCACTCGTTTTCTACCCGTTCTAGTGCTGCCGAGGAAAGCGGCTTGCTAGGAGGTACGCGGAGTGGTAATTGGAAACTCTTCGTGGATCGATTCGCGTGCATGAACCGCCTCAGGAGCGATCGAAGCACGTCTCTTCCTCCACCCCTTCACTCCGAGTGCCTCCTCAAGGCCTGCGAAGAACGAGGTGGGTGGCGTCCGCGGTGGTGTATTGAGTTCGAATCGTGACTCCACGTACTTAGGCGACGGCGGTGCGGTGTATTCTTGTGCCTCTTCGTCTTCAATGTACTGGACTTCATCGACTTCTTCGTCTGCGGTGTGTGCGTACTCTGGAGATGTTATCCCTGTGGGCGAGACCTCTAGTCGCGCGAGAAGAGCGTTGAGCTCGTTCACGTCGAGGTCTTTGAGGTTATCCCGCAGCTCGTTGATATCTCTATTAAAGAACTCGGTTTCCCTGAACACAACGTCTCGCGTTGTGATAACGCGGGCAGTAAGCGGATTCCACACGCGGTAGGAGTTGCTAGTACTGTACCCAATGAGGTAGCCTATCCATCCTCTCGGTTGAAGCTTTCTCGACTTATTCCTGCCCAGCTGTGCGTCTGTTGTGAGCGCATACACTTTGCAGCCGTACGCTCGAAGGTGGGCTTGATGAGGCTTCCCGAGATCTGGGCCGCGAAACTGATTATGGAACCGTTCGAAGGGCGTTTTCCAGCCGCGCGCCGCTGACGGCGTCCTGTTGTATAAATACGTCGCGGCGGCAACGATTTCGGGCCACAGCATCTCAGGGAACTTGCCTGCCTCGCGAAGGGTCCTAGCCTTCTCCTTGATAACTGCTGCGATTCGCTCGGCGCCTCCGTTCTGGGCCTGCGTATTGGGCGCAGAGGGTTCGAGGACCACCCCTTGAGATTGAAGGTGAGTGGCGACTTGCTGATGAATCGTTGCAACCTCGCGGTTACATTCGAAGACTTTGACCTGTATATTATATTGCGTCTTCATCATGGCCATGAAGAGATCGAATACCTCGAGGAGCGTCTCTGTTGTACGGTCCTTAAGGTAGTAGTCCCACGAGTATCCTGTTAGTCGGTCAGAGAGTATTACCGTAGACATATAGCCTCCGTATCCTTGAGGGCTAATCGAGTGAAAGTCGAACGCCACTCTTGATCCTGGTTTTGCCCACGCTATAGACTCGCGTGGGGCACGTCGAACAATTCGTCTTGTCTTCCCTTTTCTACACGCTGAGCAGTCAGGCAGCTTGTTGCGTAGGTCACCCATGATCTTCACGCCTCGAGAGGCGTTGACGAGGTGCTCCAGCACCCCCTCGCCCGGGTGACCTAGTCTCTGGTGCTATCTGAACGGTCTTCCTGCGAGTCTTTTGCGCGGTGTAAACGATGTGTGGCGCTGCTTCGCCTGCGTGACGAATCCTGCTTTGGTATTGTCCTCGATAACCTGTTGTCCATGGAGATCGTGAAGGTAGCAGACGAGTGTCCCATCCGCTCTTCGTACGCAATTCTGGCCTGGGCGGTTATCCCACCACATCCCTCGTTGCCGTAGAAGGCGGTAGGAGACTAGATTCGTTGCGAATTCTTCGCAGTAAGCGACGTTGTATAAGCGGAGTCTTACCTTCTTCCCCCGCTCAGCGTCAGCCGTTATATCCACGTTTCCATACCCTAGGATTGGGACTTGTGAGGCTCCTGCCCATAGGTAATCCCCTGGTTCAGCTGCTCTGAAACCTGAGAATCGAGCCCGGTTGTTGAACACGTGTAGCGATGATCCTGAGTCGTATATCGCAGAGTTGTGTAAGGGGTACTCAGTCCGGATCATGAACGCAGAACGGTCACTCGTATACTGCTTCCTCCACGATGCGTTGGCTGACCCCATACACCGACCATACAGTCAGGTCTGCTTCGCTTCCTTCTCGCGTTGTTCACGGATCTTCTTCACGCGGTCCGCGAGGTCGTCATCGGCCTTGAGACGCTCGGTGACCTTCTTCATGATGTCGTTGCTGGGCCTCCATCCTTCATACGCTTCCTCTGGGAAGCAGTAGAAGCAGTTGGCAAGTAGGTGTCGTGGCAGATCACATCCGTGACACGTTGGCATCTCGTTTTGGGTCCGCGAATCGGCGGCCCTATGTCGCTTCTTGGTTGTACTCCGAGGCATGGTCTCCTTGGGTCCTTCTCTTGTTGTGGCAAAGGCACCTCTTGAGGCTCTTGGTCCTGTCGATAGGGTATCTGCGTGGATTCGTATATATCGTCGTACTTCCGCAGAGATCTCGCTGATCGAGGGGTTGTCCGACTCGTGGAACTTCGCCTCGAACGTGGCGTGGAACGCAGAAATAGCGGTCTTCGCAATGACCTTTAGGAAGTCCTCGCTCCACTCGCTGAAGTCCCTTGTCTGGGCAAGGTTGACCTCTTGTCCCTTCAACATTGCGGCCTCCCATTGCTCGAGCCAGTTCTCGATCTCGGCCTTCGTGGTTATCCGCTTTGTAGCCGCTTGCTTGACGGTCTTCTCGTACTCCTCACGCGCGGCGCTCTTTTGTTCATTGTTCGAGATCGAGGCCACGCCCTTCAGCTTGACCATCCAGGCGTGGAGGGTCTCCGTAGGTTTACAGCACGCATTGACGTACTTCTCGGCTGCTGTCGATAGGACACAGTTGCGGAGCTCTCGTAGAGCAGCCGCTTCACGCTCGTAGATACGGATATCATGGTTGTAGTCGCTCCGGAGCTGTACATACTCCTCACGGTCCTCCTTGACAAGGTCTTGGAGGCGTCTAGCCGTCTCGTTCGATCGAACTTCTTCGATATCTGGTGTCTGTGACACCTCGATGATTGATCCGCGGGTATGTCGCGGTATACCTTTCTTCTTGTAGTCGGAGAAGGCCGGAGGCTCCGGCTTCGGCATCCGCTTCTCGGGGTTTTCGGCGCCGGGATCCACTTGCTCCCAGACGTCCAAGTCGGTGGCTTTACCCTGGAAAACCTTATACCAGGTTGGCCATTGACTGGGGTTGTTGAGGACAATGGATTCCATCTTTGCTTATGTCGTTATTGATTCGGGCTTATCGCGTGGGTTTTGAGGGACGTAAACGGGGTGTTCGTGTGTTTTGCAGTTGATCGGATCTTCGAATAGCTTCGTTTTGCCTGTAGGTAGGCCAATTGGTAGGTAATCAGACTGTTAATTGTTCGAATATTCGTAGGCGCACATTCAGGGGTCAATCGTGATGTGTATTGTGCTTCTTCTTTTCCTAAGACCTGTCCGTATCCCTTACGCGCCTTCTTCCGGCGTGTTCCCTGTGACTAAGCGCACCTAGCGCGGTCCTCGGCCAAACATTCCTCCTAGCGCCTTCCTGGCATCCTAGGCGCTCTGCGTGTGCATCGCTTCCAGCGCCCCTGGCCTACCACCCTTTTTGACAATATCACCTTAGGCCCGTGGAAAGGAACCGGTATAGGGCCCTAGGATGGTACGGCCTACAGAAGGGACTAAGTGCCCGCTTTGGGCCAACCCAGCTAGTTAATTACAGCCAGCCAGCCAGCCAGCCAGACAGTTACGCCCAGCCAGTTAATTACAGCCAGCCAGCCAGCCAGCCAGACAGTTACGCCCAGCCAGACAGTTACGCCCAGCTAGTTAATTAGCCAGCCAGCCAGCCAGCCAGACAGTTACGCCCAGCCAGTTAATTACAGCCAGCCTTAGGCATACCCCCCTATTACGCCTCGCACTAATAGAGGCCTAAGGAAGTCATGTTATTAAGCCGTTTAAAGTCATGTTTAGGCAGCCGAAACGATCGGGACGATCGTCTTTTTCGGGACGGGCACCTGTCACAGTTCTATTAGACACAACAGTAGGGATGCCACAGTTATGGGGCTGCCAGTGTGGCTGCCAGTGGGGCTGCCACACGTGGGGCGATACTGTCGCCCTAGACCGCCCTATAGGTATATTAGACCACCTGTTCGCTAGACCTAGGATAGACCTAACCTAATAGACAACAATGACTAGAACGACTTATTAACTGTGACAATAGGTTGATTACTTTAATCAAGGCATAGAAGTAGGTTTTAGCTATTCCTTTTAGTATTAGGGGAAGTGCCTTGTTATATTAAGAGGTATAAATTCCTAGCATTCTATAGTAATCTACGAATACTAGCATCTTCTTTTCGAGTATATCGTATATATCGCCGCTATATTTTATATCGTCGGGGTATAGTTTTGCGAATTCTATTAATTACTTTCCGATACGGTCTATTAACTTATATAGTTAGAAGTCTATTAACGGAGAGACCGTAAGATATAGCGGTCGGTATAGTAGTTGCTACTATTATTATTCTTATAGAGGAGGTAGCTATAAGGTTGGTTCGACTCTTCCTCCTATACTATTAGCTACTATTGCCGGTCTCGTGATCTCTTCGTAGAATTCGGGGTCTTTTATCAAAGCCTTCAGGTTGCGATATCTCTTAACGCCTTATTCGAGTTCTTAAGGTAACTAGTAGTAGAATTCTTCCTTTTTAAAAGCTAATACTATATTTTTTAAGATTTTCTTACTATCTATTTCGACGTAGACGCTATTACCGATTAAATAGTCTTTAAAGAATCGTAGGATTAGGGGAGGTATGTTCTAAAAGTCTTCTTCTAACTAGTCGGCGAAATCGGGAGAAACTTCGTTCTATAACTCAAAGCCTATAAGATTCCTCTTCTTATAAGTCTTAAGTAGGAAACCTATATAGGAACCTAGTTGCTATAAGCTAGCGTTTATAAGGTCGATTGCCTAGTTGCTTTATACTGCTAGATCGATTATACTTTCGATTCTTTATAAGATAGGGATTATTAATTAGCTTTTAGTAGTAACGCTACTTATAAGCGATCCTTCTCGTAAATTTCGCTTTATTCTAACAGTATAAAAGGATTACTTCTATTTAGAATCTTAAATTCTAATCCTTAATAGCGTTAGCTACGATTAGTATAAGATATAAGCCTAGAAGTAGGAGTTAAAAGACGATTCGGGATATTACGATTCTAAGGGGAAAGAATCGTAAAATCGGGGATTTTCGTCGGTTCGTCGTTTATTTCCGTCAGCGCCGTTCTTGCTAATATTCTCGAAGGGTATAAAGGTATATATAGGTCTCGAATTAGTAAAGAGAAAGTTCTACCGTAGATTCTCTCGTAAATCTCTCTTTCTCGCTTCGGGCTTTGCTCCTTACTATTAAGAAGTTTAGAATCTAGTAGATAGTTAGCCTTATAACGCTTATAACTACGTACGTTTCTCCTAAGCCGTAGCCTCGGAGGCGTATACGTATAGCTATATAGGCGGATTACTACTAGTAGTCTCTGCTTGCCTTTCAGCATATTCTTCTTCTAGTAGGGAGGTCTCTTATAATAAGCGCCTTGCGGTTAGCACCTTGTCTAGGGATTTATTAAGAAACTAGCAGGCGCTTCGTAATTAGTACTATGCGTAGGGGATAGTTATAGTTAGGGAAGTTATTATCCTTTATAAGATTCGTAAATCTTTGCCTTTATAACGTAAAAAGGTTAGAAGACTATCGATTTAGTAGGTTTCTTCTTCTAGTAATTAAAAACGCGTAATAGAACGCTTTTGCTAGCGATAATTAGCTATAATTAACCTTATCCCGCCTAAGGTAAGCATAATAGTCCCTAGGTTACTCGAATAATCGGATTACTAGTAGATTCGAGGAAAAGAAGCTTTCTTCTACTAGTTTCTATAGATCCTAGTTACTCTCGCTTCTTCTCTCGTTAGCACGAAATCCCTACTTTTACCTAGGCTTAGGTATCTAGTTTAAGAAGTCGTCTCTTCTAGTATTAACCTTACTAATCTACGGTTTATCCATAGTAAAGTAGTAATTATAAAGTTAACTAAATTAATAGCAACTATAAGGTTTACTACTAATTAGTATAGGTTTTACAAGGGGTAAAACGGAATTCCGTTTGTTAATAATAAATAATAGTAAATTAGTTCTAATCGATAGTTTATGATAGTTGAAAGTAGTGTTGTTGACTAGAAGGTGGGGATATTCCCCCTTGGCCTGTCACGTGGGTCTGGGAGGCTTGGGCCTCTCAGCCTGGCGGGCGTGTGGCTGGAAGTGCCACACGACTCCGTATTCCAACTATCGCAACAGAAGCTTTCGGCGGAGAGAACATTTACCTCCCGGGTTCTCCTTCTTCAATTCGTCATGTAGTAACTGGAGAAGAAACTAAGAACAAATTCACCTTTGTAACCAGCGGCGGACTACCATTCCCTCATCCGGTACCATTTCACTACCACAAATACACACATCATGACTTCCTCTGTATCAAAGGGCAGATAAAGGTGTGGTTGAATGGTCGATGTCGAATTCTTAACCCCGGTGATTACGCAAGCGTAGCGCCAGTAAGTTAGCATCCCATCAAAAAGTGCTACACGTTGGGAATGAAAGCAAACTTATTGCGCTTAGGGAGCTATTCATGGTTACCAATTTCTCGGTGACCATACAGAGATCTTCGGAATTATAACCCCTGGCGGATTTGAGGGGATGTTCCGTCTCTTTGGTGAAGCCTACGATGGACCCATGTGGCCTGATGTGGAGGTTGAAAGGGCCGGCGAAAAGCTGAAATCCGGGGCCGCCGTCGCCGCAACCGAGTATGACGTGATCCCTGTTCCGGAGCACAAACTCGTCGAGCCGCAGCCCTGGAATGACACGGATACCATCCTCCCGGGAACTCAGGACCCTTACTTCTTACGCAACGGCACAGGTCCGAGTGCTGTGTTGGGCGGCACCGTTATACGTCGCTACGTCACAGCAGCTGAGTCGGGCTCTACATTTTCTTTAGGAACAATTGAGGGGTCTCAGGCCTATGAAACTCAGGTACTCTCCGGCGGTATACAGTTTCCTACTGTAGACCATTGTTTGTACGTCACCGATGGATACATGGAGATCAAGGTCAACGACTCCAATCCATCACGCGTCGGACCTGCTGAAGTGGTCTGGCTACCAGCTGGAACCAACTTCGACATCAGGGTTGTGAGTCAGTACACCAAGGTCTTTGCGTATTCGCAGCCAGGTGGCCTGGTCGACCTACTGTTCGAAGCAGGCAAGGGCAACCCCCACGCAGGCCGAAATTCAATGATTCCAAGTGTGCCTGTACCTTTTGAGCGGAACAACCTTCTCAAATTACAAGATCAGTTCGAGTTCAACTTCTCGTCGTAGTTAGAAACTTCGATAGCTTTTAATGAAAACCGTTTTCATACATTCTATGACCCAGCTAAGGTGTTCATAAATGACAAAATGTTAGGATTGCATATCGCCGCATAAGATATATAGACTTAGACCTGCTTCGTTGCACCGTGGCCGAGATCACTAAGGATAGAGTACCGACAAGGCAGAGAGCAAGAGAGATGCCAATGATTCTGATAGTGACTAAGGCTAATCTGCACTGTACAAGTAGATGTGTTCTGGTTAAGGCGATGCCCATGATATTGACCACCTCAAGTTAGCATACTTGTGCACATTTTTCATCAACGACAAGATACAAAAAAACGGAATTCTGACTTGCCGCTTGATTCAACAACTGTATCACAACGGTATCACTGTCGCTCTCTTCGCAACAGAAATTTTGGTTTCCAGGGATAACCATACTAAAGCCCTCCTCTTAAGGTGCAGAGGATCTTAAAGCCCTTAGGGTTTCATTGATAACGGGGTTTCGCTGATTGATTACCTGACATTCACAATACCCTGGACATAGTTTGCACGCTGTAGTAATCGTGACCATGCCCATAATCGTGACTTAGTGATCACTAATACCAATTATCGACAAACATCATCCCACGAAGGCTGCTCGAGTCTCCTGCTTAAGTTGATCAATCGGAGGATAGGCCACAATGCTTTTATACCGAGCAGGATAACCATGGCTTGGGGCAGAATCAAACTAAGTAAGGAGTATCAGTGGAGCAGTTGAGATTGGGGCTTAACTTGAGTCGTTATTAGAGCTTCTGTATCTTAAAGTGACAAGGCAGCATTATCCTTCTGTCTCGCGCCATGCAGGAATGCGCTACAACTTATTCTGTTCCGCCGTGGAGCAAGCTCGACTTATTATCTCACTAACGCTTCGAAGGCAGATCAACTGATGTAATGCATTGAGCCATTCGAGTCACAGGCAATATGAATTTTATGCCATTGATAAAACACGCCGGTTGCGAGATTTCAAAGTGAATTTCCATTATATGCGTTTATCACACAAATGACCTTTTAATCAACAACCAGCAAAACTAGCGTTCCAGATACGGAAGAAGTGCTCGCCTAGACAATCTGATAAAAACAGCGGCTAGAGGAGCATACCCATAGGGTCAACACTGAAGCAGCATCAGCAAGTCACCCTTCAAAGAGCTTTAACGCATGATCCATATAACACGGGCATTCACCACTTTCCTTGAATTGCCTACCTACAAAAAGTTTCCAACGATGACTATGGAAAATGATAATACAGGCATAAGTTAAGCCGCAAGTGCCAAGACCAAGTCAAGTTTTAATCACTTTCTTCAAGCATTGCTGGCGATGGAAGAAGAAGCCCATCAGTTGTTGTTACAGTTGTTAAATGTTCTTACACATTAAACATTTCCGGTGTTACAACTCGTTACGCTCCATCATGACGACTTACGAACAACAACAAGTAGTCAAAGCCACCACCGCCACCGTTCTGCACATTTGAACACATTACGTTGTTAACGACAGTTCGACACCAGGTACTCGGGCCAGTGATTGTTTACGCCACTCACCGCGTTTCGAAACAACAGCCAAGACAACAGATACCAGACAACCACCTCCAAAGGCCTCTTCGTTTTCCCTCCTTGAGTCAAAAAGGATGCTCAGCGACAAACCCGGTGGACGGCACAGCCAACGCCGCCCCAAAAGACAGATAAAGCAAAAAAAAAAAAAAAAAAAAACAACCCTGCAGCCAAAACCACCAAGCCATAGATCTCAAACCAAAGTACGACAACTCCCACCCACCCAAAGTAGCCGCCACAATCTCATCATCGAACCCCGTGAAACTCATTTTACCAATGGATCGCTTTCCCCCCTAATCCCCCACACTCATCAACCGCAAATACCCGCTCTTCTTCTACCCTCCTTCGTGGCTCTCATATCTCAAGCATGCAAAACAAACACTGCAAAGTCTCAGACCGACCACACCCCCCTTTCTAGAACCGCCAAAAAAAACTCCATACCAATCTCATAAGCCATCCCTCTCTCTCAAAAGCCGAGAATCTCAGAAAAACGTCCCAGTCCATAGCCCACCTTCCCCAGCCGCCATAACCTCCAGGCAAGCTTGTCCACGTAGCAAAAGTTGTCTTAGCCACTCGACCGTCATCACAACTCACAAACTCGGGTCTTTCCCCCACTCAAAGCGTGAAACTAGCCCGTCATTAAAATAAAAAAACCGAGGGCAGTAGAACATTTCAAATTTCAGCTTGAAGAATGAATCTGTCTTCCAGCGTAGCATAGATCAGTTGTTTGCCTCCCGGAATAGGTTACTCCCTTTCGCACTCCTTGCCGCGATAGCCATCTCGGACCCCTATCCGTTCAACATACCAATGCACGTCAACACCCTTACCTAGACAACTAAACCAGTAGCCCAAGAAAACTACCGTAACCGAAGAGAGCTCGACCCCCCCAATACCCATCTACTTTACGAGTATCAAACCCTACCTAGATTAGATTCCCACAGTAGCCTTCTTACTAGGACAGAGACGTCAGAGTGCTGTCCTCGTCCCTTACTTCACACTTGCCTAGAAAGCCTGTTGATCCCCTCCCCTTCGGCAGTCCGAGGCCAAGGCCGTCACCGCCCCCCCAAAAAAGAGTCGTAGCGTCAAGTCACATCCGTCAATGAAAAAAAAAAAAAAAAACAAGTCCAGTCTAAACCACCGCCAAGCGGGACCGCCGCCGCCCTCCCGGCCTCTCGGTCAACGGCTTCACAAGCTTCCCTTTTGCGAAATCCCTTCCCTCCGCCGCCCCCTCCCTCTTCTTTCTTAGGTATCAGATAGTGCCCGCCCCCCCGGTTAGACGCCCCGGCTTTTACACAAATCTGCAAGCCTCACTCACACCGGCCGCCGTCGAACCGCCCTCCTACACCCCAGCCCCGTCCCGCCCGCTCGCCTCCGGTGACGTCTATTAAATCCTAAAAACAACAACCCGAGAAAAACAAGCAAACTAAGAAAAACAACAACAACAACAGCAATACTAACAAGGACCAGGAATCATCCATCCCATGGTTGATGCTCGTTGGGTGTATCTCTAACGCAAGTAGCCAGCATTCTCTTTTACTTCTTTCTTTGTTGGCCCCTCTCTCTTCCTCTCCTCCTATCCACAAACGGGGTTCCAAAGAAAGAAGAGGAGGGGGGGGGGGGCTGGCAGCAACGACATATTCCCCTCCGTACGCACACTCCGTCCATCAAACCCCCTTCCACCCCCTCACCTCCGTGAATCGTAAAAAAGGCCCGCAGCGGAGACTAACCGAATCCATAACAAAAAGCAAAACTTCCCAGTTATTCTCACCTCTCAACTTTCAAGAAGTCTCGGAAAAAGCAAAAACACAACCAAAGAAAAAACCTCCCGCCGCCCCCCTCCCCTTCCTCCTCCATCCATTCTCTGCCTCTGCCTCTTTTTTACAAAATCTATCTCAACGCCCCTCCCTTCAAGCAAGGATCGCCGATCGACGCAACCGTCCTCAGCCAGCATCATCTAGTTCACATTAGCGGGACTCTTCACCCCCGGGACCCCGGGCAACCCCCGGCCGCCGCACCTTACCTGCCTTGCCCACCAAAAGCACCACCACCCTATTCCCCCTTCCCCATGACCCCCCCCTCTCTCCCCCGGCGGCCGTTCCTCCGTCATCCTGCTTGCTTGTAAGCCCGCTCGCTTCCCGCCGTCATTGTCACTTGCTTGTCAGATGTGACTAAAAACAACACCCACTCAGAAAAGCAAAATCCCATGGGATTAAAAACTCCCCGAAAAGCAATGCAGGATAGCAGACAGACAGACCGGTGTGCGGCGTCTGTGCGCTTCCCTTGTCTTTCTTGAGGTGTCGTCGTGTCTAGAACGAAAAGACCCAACCCGAGGACTGGACCCCCCGCAAGAACGCGCGATGATGAAGCCAAGGGATGCGCCCTCAAAACTTCAGGGTCGAGCCCAAATCGGGAAATGCATTCGCCCGGCATCTCAGACGCTGGATATTCCATCCCCGCCGCCCTCATTCTGTCCCCTTTCTAGATGTCTGAATAACCAGTCGAAGCGTACCTTAGTCGTAAACTGAATCCTAGACGATGAACCAGAATCCTCGCCATCGCCAGAGACATCTCAACCATCGCTGCCAAGTCGCCGACCTAACGTTTGTACTACTACGCAAGATCTGGCTTGGATCCAATACAGTTCCACACCTCCCCTCTTCCTCCCCGCACCCTTCTCCTCTCCCCCCCCCCCCCCCCCCCCCTCCTCAAGGCCAAGATCCGCGTCTGGCGATGCTAGTCTGCTGCTACTGTTTGCTGCTTCTACGTGTACCGCAGTGTGATACCTCCGATCCGCAACTCTTGCGATTGGGCTGCTGAGCCTCCTGCAAATCCTCGATCGTGGATCTTCTCCTCCGGGAAACGCAGGAGGCATGCGCCGTCAGCGACCGGTCAAGAAGTGGATATCGGGCTAATCACCGGCATATGCAACATGGACCCTTTTAAAGTAAGAGAGAACTGACACCTTCTTCACCCCCCTCCCGGCCAGCTTGGAGTGATGCCTGTAGGAGGTCACCACGTTACCCCCGCGTATGTGACGAGAACCGGTTCTCTGGGCCAAAGCCCTCGAGTTCAGGTTAGCCACCGTGGCAGGCAAACTAAACACCCACTGCGGCCGCCAGGCTCCACTCGGGGGCATCAGTCTCAACGAAGGAAGGCATGATAGTCGATAAAAAAAAAAAAAAAAAGCCCACCCGAGACCCCTCGAGTAAGTTCAAATCCCGAACGTGATATCGTCGGCGCCCTTGCTTTGACCCATGCCGCTCATAGAAGCCCATAGCATCTGTGCCAGATTCCGGTGTCTAGGGATCGTTGTCCGGTGGTGGTTGTCCGGCGATCGAAAAGCGTCACCCTTCGTCACCTTGCCTGTCCACCATGCCTGTCGCAGCCAGCCATCGAACCCACACAAAAGGTTTGAGTCTGGGGAAG